TCCTGCCTCAGTATTCCAAGTAGCTGAGACAACAGGCACGAGCCACCACGCTCGGTCCCAGTTACAATGTAGAGGAGCCTGGGAGGACTGAGGTGGCCTGTGCCTGACATGCTCAGTACCTGTCAGAAAAACAGCACCACTGGGGAGGACAGGCTGACCCCTGAGGTCATTCTGGCTTTCAAAGGGAAGCCTGTTTGGGACTGGTGACACCAGCTCCCCAGGCCTGTCCAAATGGAGAGTGTGTTGGCCTGGCTGAGGGCAAGGGGGCTATATCTATGGGGCTTCTTCCTGTAAGGGTGGGCTTTGAGTCACAGACCTGAGCAGGCACACCAGGGACCCAGAGACACTGAATCAGGGGCAGCTGAAGCAGACGGTGAACCCAGGCTTGGGGTGAAGCACATCCAGTTGCATCTGGCTGAGTAGCTTGGATGGGTCTCTTTTCCTATCAGCCTCTACTGCTGGCCAGGGTGGTGCTATTCCTTGTTGGGCTCCAGTGAGGAGATACAAGGGGGGCCAGCACACCCAGCATGGTGTGGCATGTGGTGTGGGCCCACTTGTGGCTGGTTTGGGTTTTCCTTGACCGGCCGCCCTTCCCTGGGCAGGCAGATGCAGCTGGGGCCTTCCGCTGGCTGGAGCTCTCGGAGCCACGGCTGCAAGCACTGCAGGAGGGCGTCTTGTGCAGGACCCTCGCAGGGTGCTGGCCGCTGAGGCTGCTTCCCACCCCGGGCACCCTGACCGAGTTGCCTGTCACCCATCCTGTTGGAGTGAGGTGAGGGAGACACCTGCCCGGGTGGTGGACCCTGTGGCAGGGCTGGCAGTCAGGCCCTCTTCTACTTCTCTTCCTCCAGGCCTCCCACCCCTGGCCTCTGGTCCCACTGTGAAGGCTTGGTGCCGCTCCAGCCGGGCCTGAGGCCTGTGCAGCCAACTTGGAAGGGCTCCTCGGAGGTGGGCCTGGACTGGACAGGGGCCACTTTCTCCCCAGGGACGCCGCTGTGGGCAGCCCTAGATGAGCAGATGCTGCAGGAGGGGATCCAGGCCTCTCTCCTTGATGGGCCAGCCCAGGGGCCTCGGAGCCCACTGTGGCTGCCCAAGTCCTCTGTCTCCTCTCTGCGGTAAAGTAGGGTGGGCAGAGGTGGGATCCCCTAGTGTGGGGACTGGGGATGGCCCTGACACTCCCTCCTTGTCCCTTCTATACCCCACAGGTTGCAGCAGCTGGAGCGCATGGGCTTCCCCACAGAGCAGGCGGTGGTGGCACTGGCAGCCACAGGCCGTGTGGAGGGTGCTGTGTCACTGCTGGTTGGAGAGCAAGTGGGCACGGAGGCCCTCGTGACTGAGGGGAAGGGTGGGCCGGCCCACCTGGAGGGTCCTGGGCCCCCTTAGCCCAGGCAGAGTGTGGGGGCACAGGCAGGCCTTCAAGTGAGCGCTGGCCTATGGGTAGGTAGCCTGAGCCCCTGCTCTACTGAGGGCTGGAGTGGGGCAAGGGAGGCACCCCCCTCACACAGCTTGCTGCCTCGGTACTTGTTTAGAATAAAAACTGGTTTGTTTTTTAACCTGAACCTCCTTGGAGGCAGCAGTTGTGTCTGACTCTTTTGTGTTGGCAAGAGGGGGATGGATGGATGGATGAATGAATGAACAAGCTTTGAATGAGTGACTGGTTACAGGAGAGCTGTTGCTTGATGTCCAGAGGTGGCACTCCTGCCCCCGTGCCGTGTAACCTCTTTCTCCAGGAGGCTGTCTCCAGCATAGAGCATTCTCCATCACTGGTTTCCAGCAAATTCCCCCCACCCTACCCCCAGGTCTCTGCCTAGACAGCCCCTTCCCAGCTGTCCCCCTCTGAGCACACACTGAGACCAGGCTGGGTGGGAATTGGGCAGGGGCCTTTATTGGCCAGTATACATCTTCCTCCCGGTGTCTGTCAGAAGCACTTGTGGCAGCAGGCGACCCCTGCTTCTCCATGTCCCAAACCCACCTGGGACACTGGGAAGGGGCTGGGAGCTCAGGGGCAGAACTGAGGCAATCCGGTCAGAGATTAGGCAACCTGAGCCAGGGTTGGGAACCCAGCACAGGAAAGCGAGGAGTACAGAGAGGCTCCCCAAGGTTGGGCTGGGGAGGAGGTGGAGGGAGACTGTGGCCCTCTTAATCCCTGCGTGTGCTGAGGGCCGGACAGCTCCAGCTCCTGATCCCTCAGTGCCTCTGGGCCTGGAGGCTGAGGCTGCTGATGAGAAGACAAGCGTCGTACCTCTACCCCCTCCCTGAAGGCCTGCATCACCCCATGTCACAGAGGGAAGCTGAGGCCCAGGCCTCACTTCTTGCCTGGGCTGCCACGTTTCTCTCAGACCCCATGCCTGCTCAGCCTCAGACAAGTGCAGGATGCCAGGACCAAGACCTGCCTACTCCTACGGCCTAGATGGCAGAAAGGACCTGAGGGCATTAATAAATACAGGCAGGCGGTCCCCGGAGGCAGCTGGCCAAGTCCAGGCTAGGAAGGGACACCCGGCCTGGTCCACCCCAGGGGCTGCCACCGCCCTCAGCCTCTCTCGTTCCGGCTCCTGGGGGCCACGATCCGGTAGTTGGCTGTGTGTCCTCCCCTCTTGCCCCGAAGGAGGCTGGGGGTGCCTGTGCCGGCAGGGCCTGCCCCGGACCCCAGCTCCGGTTCTGCCAGAGGGAAGGAGAAGGAGAGAGGCTACGTTAGGGGGGGGTCCATGTGGGATGCCCACCTCCCTTTGGCCCTCTGGGGGATGGTGGGACCAGGCACCCTCTGCCAGATGCAATCCACCCTGGTGTCTGGGAGCAGAGCTGTGGGAAAGAAGGGGTTTGCATGCTGGTCAGTGCCTGCCCCAGGACCTACCAGCCCCTCAGCCCAATGACGGCACTCAGGGCCCCTACTGGATACTGCTTTGTCAAATGGGCATAACCAGACTCACCATGTTTACGAAATGTTTAGCACATAGCAAAATCTCTGTAAGGAGTGTAGTTCTTTTTTTCTATTCCTTATTTTGGGATGGAGGTGTGCCCCAAATCATCATCCCCATTTCATAGCTGGGTAAACTGATCTAGTGACTTGGGCTAGGCCACCATTGGGGGAGAGAGCTTAGGAGGGCTGGGCTCTGCAACTGACCTACTGGGCAGCCTAGGGCAAGTTGGACCCTTGTCGGGGCCTCTGCTATCTTATTTCTAAAACCAGGGGCAGTTTCAGATAGACTCTGAGGTCCCAGGCAGCTCCAATAATTGTTGAAATTTATGTCAATGGGGTTATGGTGAGATATGTCCCAACCTGGACATAAGCTGTACTCCAAGAGTAAAAATGAATAGTTGACATACTTGCCACCTGGAAAACCCCTACTTATTCTTCAAAACCTAGAGTGTTTGCATCCATTAATGTACAGAAAAAAGCAAACCCAGAGCAGGAACCACCCCCTCCAGGAAGCCTTCTATGACTATCACCTCAGTCCTTCTCATAGTTAAATGAGCAGGCCAGACAGGTCAGGATAGGCTGTTTTTCCTATGGGGAGAGGGATATTCAAGGAGGAGAGCCCCAGGATGAAGGATTTGACTGAGGCTCCACAGCCCTGTTCACAGGACGGACACTTGCACTCTAGTGAGCTCCAGCTTCCTACTGAGAGCACTGCCAGGGAGTGGGCTATACCTTTATAATCATAACTGCCAGTGCCCTGACCCTGTATGCCCCAGCCTCCCGGGCACCTCTGGGCTGAGATTTGGGGCCCCTGGAGCAGAAAGACACGTGAGGTCACTGTCAAGGGACATTCCATGCCCTAAATCAGGGAGCATGGGAGGAGGGTGGCACAGAGCACTGGCTCCAATGCCAGCTAGGGTCACGTCCTGGCCCCATTGTGCCAGGACTTTTGGGCAAGTCACAGGACTTCAAAGGCTCGTCTGGAACATGGGGATAATACTCTCGTCACACCCTTGCGTTTAATGTGACTGGGACTGGAAAATGGTTTTCACAGTAAATGCTGGATTATCATGGCTTCAACCCAAGTCGCCTGCAGGTCTGTCACTGTGAGTTGGTCATGAGATGCTGTTATGACATGATCACCTTTGGGGCCCTGAGTTTCCCCTGGGCCCCACTCAGTGCCTGGCTGAGCAGAGGTGTCAGCAAAACTTTGTTGATAGAGCCGGAAGAGCCAGCGCCTTAGAGGAGAGAACTAGGGTGGACCCCTGCCTGGCCTTTCTGTTGCTATCCTGGTGGCCCTGAGGGAGTCACATGAGCTCCCTGAGCCTCTGTTTCTTCATCTGTAAAATGGGCATGGTATTGCCCACCTAGCAAACTTACTGTAAGGACTGGAGATGACCAATGGAAATCCCCCAGTCCAGGTGGGCCAGACATATAGTCGCTGTTTCTATTATCATCATTGCTGATTATAACCTAAACACAAACCCCATCAGAGTCCTTAGTACCTGCTCTGTATGCTGAGCCAATGGGGAGGGTTCCATCTCTTTCTCTGTTCCCCTCCTTCCGCACCTCTCCCTTCAAGGCTCCCATTCAAACTGGCTCGAGGTCTCCTGGGCTTATGGCCACTGACAGTGGGCATGGACCTTCCTAGGTGCTGGGCACTTTCTCCTTGAGCTGTCAGACAGAGCCAGCTGAAGGCAGGAAGGGACAGATCCAAGGCCACAGTGGCCCAAACATGTCCCTTCTAGCTCCTGCCCTAATCCTCCAGGGAGGTGGGGGACACCTGAAAAGGTGCTGAGAGCCTGCGATTTGGTCCTTGGTCCCTCTCTGTTAGAGGGGAGGAGGTCTGGGAGATAGTCATTGATGTTTCCATAAGTTAGAGAAGCCATGTGGCATGGGTGTGGGGGGCATTTGGAAGCAGACTCCCTACACTTTTCAACCTCTGGGCTGTTGCCCACATGGGACTCTCTGTCAGGGCTGCCCCACCTGGGACACTCATAGGGATCTTCCAAGACCCCATGCAGGTGTTCCTTTTTCTAGAAAGTCTTTTCCAATCCCCTGCGAGGAGGACTGCTGCTCACCCACATCCTTCTGTGCTCCCATACCCCATATTGCTACAGATATTGAGGACTGCCTGCTCCCCACGGCAGGGACCTATCTGCCCTCCAGGGCCCCAGCACCCCCATAGGCCTGGCATTCAGTAGGTGCTTCCTATGCTCTTGCTGAATGAAGGAGGCTTGACTCTAACCTTGACCCTCATCCCCCCTTGGGATCTCAGTTTCTCAGTCTGTAAAATAGACGTGAGGTTGGCCATGAGTCGAGGTCTCTGTGCACAGATGTGCTTACTGGGCCGTAAGATGGGAGCAACTGGGCAGATGAGGAACGGAGTCCTTGGGCAGTCAATCTCTTCCTCTCTCCAAAGTCAGCCACAGGCTCCCATTTAATGGGATAGAGGCCTCCTCAGCCTTACCCCCAGGAGCCAGGTGCAGGGAGGGGCACTGCCTACCTGGTGTCTAACCTCCTCCTGGGTCACCTACCTTCCAGGACCTTCTCAATCTGGGCCCTGCCAGATCCTGTAGCCACTTTCTGGTCTTTTGACCTTTGCTCATGCTGTTCTTCTGCTCGTTCACTCTCCCCAGATCCTTGACCTTCAGATCTCCACTTAGACATCACCTCTTCCAGGAAGCCCTCTCCAACCTCCCCTGGGTCAGGCCAGGGGCAATTCTGTGTTCCCACAGCTGTCTGTAATCATTCCTACGTGGTACATCTCACCTTGTGTCTCACTGCCAGTGTTAGGACTCTCCCCAGCACCCCAGCACCCTAAGCTCCATGAGAGCAGGGCTATGTCTATATTATCTTGTACCAACAAGGTGCCTGGCACAGAGCAGGTGCTCATTCACTTGAGAACTAGTTACCAGAGCCTTCTCTATGTCAGACATCACCTGCTGGGAGGATGAAAGGATGAAGAATGATTATCTGCTGCCTGGGTCAAGCATTGAAAGGTGCCTCCTGCATGCCCAGGCCTTCCCAGGCCCTTCCTGAAAGGGGCTGCCCCTGCCTGCCCGCCCTGCCATTACCTGGCCAGATGATGGCTTCCAGCAGGGTGACCCGTCTGGCCAGGAGCTCCAGCTGAGCCTGCTGCTGCAGGAAGCTCTGTAAGCTAGGAGCCTGATGGGAGATCGAGAAGAGCAGACGGTGCGAGTCTGGCCTCCAAGGGCTGGGCTGGGGAGCCAAGGGGGGAGGGTGGGAGGGCAGTGGCAGTTGGATTCAGGGCAGGAGTGTGGGAGTGAGTCTCTAAGGTGGGGACAGGGCTTGCCTGGCTCCTCAACTGACCATATGGGTGGGAAATTGCTGGGTGAATGCCTGGGGTGAGAGGTCTGGCTCTTAGGCCCCTACAGGGACCTGCAAAACAAGTTAGGAGGACCAAAGGGGGAACTGCAATGGTGACACCTGGAGCCAGAAGGGCCTGCCCTGTGACAGCCTCTGGGGGGTTATGGGGGAGGAGGGTCAGAACTGGTAGGTGATATATCACCCACAATCCCCTGGGGCTTGAGCCTGGCTCTCTGTCACCCACAGTCCCCTGCACTCTGGAATCTAGCTCTGTGACCTACTGTCCTGTGGGCCTGATACTGTTACCCACAATTTCTCTAGATCTGAAGACTGACTGTGATTCTCTGCACTGCTAGAGTCTGACTCTGTTACCCACAATCCTCTGCTGGTCTGGAGTTTGGTTCCATTGCCTGCAATTTCTTCCAGACACAAAGTCTAGTTCCCTGCAGGTCTAGAAACCACACTACCCACAATGCCAGGGGCCCAGGTCTGATCACAGGGGTGAGGCCCATGTTCTAGGGTGCCCCTGTGCCTGAGGAGGAGGGGACCATTCATTGAGGGATAGGCAGTTGTGACCTCTCAGGTCCCAAGTTTCCCAGGGCAGGCACCTTCTCCAGTCTCATGACTGGGCTTAGGCCAGTTCCACCCCAGGAAGCCTTGGGAAAGGCTGGCAGGCAGAGGCCGGGCTGTCTGTCAGTCTGTCTGTCTCTACTCACCATAGAGCCCAATCATTGTTTCCAAGATTAAAACCCTCTCAGCTAAAATCTTCAAAGCCTCGCGTAGTTGGTGCAACCCCTCCCCCTGTGGAGGAAAGAGACAGATGCAGCCGTGAAGGGGGCAGGGAAGGGGGCCCTGCAAAGCCTGCTCGTGGCCCATGCCCCACCCGGGACATGCACCTGCAGCCCCGTGCCACTGCCACAGCCCAGGGCCCACGGACAGCCAGAACAAGACCAGGAGGGGACAGCAGGGAGCAGGGCAGGCGGAAGCCATTTGTGAAGAACCTCTCAGAAGGTCCCGTTGGTCCCAGCTGGCTGATCTCTCCCAACACCCTTGCAAGTCCGCAGTAGCAGAACAGCTGTCCCAGGGCCTGCCACGGAACCTGTCCCAGAGCCAGCACTGAGCCTGTTATGGGACTCACCCCAGAGGTTGCCATGAGTCCCCTTGCCATCCTCTAATCTCTGCCAACTAATGTTGGGACACTAGTTGCCATCCCATCATTTGCATGATGCCTGCCACATCCCCCGGACACCTACACTCTTATTTATTTCATAAACTTTTGTTTTTTTTTGAGTTGGAGTCTCACTCTGTCGCCCAGACTGGAGTGCAGTGGCCGCTCTCGGCCACTGCAGCCTCCACCTGCTGGGCTCCGGCGATCCTTCCGCCTCAGCCTTCCAAGTAGCTGGAA